AAAAAGTATAAAGTACTTATTTTTAAAATGCAGAGACATATCATAAGGAACCAATTGGGGATGACATGCAAAAATAGAATTAGGGTAATGGTATCCAATAACTTAGTTTAGATGAGGAAAATCATTTCAGGTTGCATGTCAGTCCAAACATACCTACAAAAACAGACGCATACTTTGGAGTTGGTTCAAACGGACACTTTCCTCTGCTCTCTTCAGCTCTTCCTTGAAAGCTTATGTTCGTCCCATGGATAACCTATGGCAAACATTCATTTAAACAGGATGAAAAAAAATAACATTTGTTAAGTAATTTTCTGGTCTTTCATACTTTTGTAAATGAATTAGGAAAGTTTCTAATTTTCAACAGGAATATTTTGAGAAAGGCATTTAAAGATCTGCCATACTATTCCAATGTCTTCAGTAAAACCTTTATTCAAACATAATTACCATATGATCACAAGTTGGGTGATATGCGTTGGTTCCACAAACATATAAGTTAGAGTCATTTATTTTATGGAGGAAGAGGATGTAGTTCTGGCATCTTATCTAAAATAGAAAAGAAAAATAAAATTTACATAATGTAGTGGATTGCATCTGAAGATTTCCTGGTGTCTTAGCAGCAAGCAAACAAACCCAACAGATTGAAATGAACTTGCTTTTACTTTGTTTATTAAAAAGAAGCTTGATACCGTAGCCATTTTCATTTTAGCTAATAACTTAGAGGGGGAAACAGAAGTTCCTACCTTGTCCTTTCCTCTATGAATACATTCCAGTTGTCTTTCCTGTGTAGCAAACCAGTATTCCTAAAAGCCAAAAATACTTGTAAGGTGGTATGTTGCGATTTTTTTCCCACAAAATGTGTAAAAAAAATCCCTAAATGATCCTGACTTTGAACCTACTGGGGTAAATAAGCATTTTCCTATATATCTACGTAACATACAAGGCATAATAAATAACCTGAAGAGAGGTACTGCTTTGCTTAAAAAAATAAAAGATTCTGTGATAAAGTTTCAAGCCTTGAAATAGTAATACTTCTATACATTTAAAGTCAGAACATTATGTTCAATTTAAGAAAACCACAAGCAAAGTATTTTTTTAAAGAAGGTATGGGAAAAAAAAGTCTTTAATTTACCCTGGCTATTTCTCTAGAAATATTATTCAAGTCAAGCGCAAATACTACATCTCTGCCTCCAACAAATAAGGTATTGGTTTCCTCATTCACAAGGAGAGTGGAAACATTGGATAATGCTTCTGTCATAAAAGTGTTTATATTTCCAGCTGCAAAACATAGAAGATAAGTTATTTTAAAAACATTTAACACTACAATCACATTGTTATGTAATAAAAATTCCAGATTGACAATAAATTGTAACAGAACAAAGGGAAAAGCTTGTACACATTTCCAGAACATTTTCTAAATAATATGAAAGTATTTGAATAAATGCATGGATATTCTTTTCCCAATTTATTACAGGAAAATAAACAACACTATTATTATTGCCTATAAGCCAGAAGCTCCAGCTACAACAATTATTGTTCAAGGCATTCCTCACTGTCATTTGGATGAGTGCATCCACAACACTTGAGGTGAAAGAGTCCACAGCATTCTTTGTATGCCTAATAAAAAACAAACTCCCAACACCATGCTATGTTTCTTTCTGCTTGTGAAATTACTATTTTTCACTTACTTTGGTATTTTACTGTTTTTCTGGGAATGCAGTTTGCAACAGATGCTTTTGTATCTTGTATTAATTGCAAAACAAGGTAAAAGACAACAGCAGTGCTACTCATTTTCAGAGAGTCAACTAGAAATAGGTTCTTCCTAGTTTTTATTACTTTTCATTAAATAATTACAGGCAGCAATTTCTTCATGGTTCTTGAAAACGTCCTGCAGAAGCCCTCTGAAGTAAGTATCTGTAGTCTTCAAGTATTTTCTGAAACTTGTCAAAACCTCTTACATTTTCTGTTCAGACAACTACTTCCAAATGTCCTAAATTAAAAAGAGTTTAAGTTCACTGTAATATTTGGTTACCTTCATTTTTTTAAGAGATGGACAGCCATGCCCTTTTACAAGATTTTGTAGCTATTACCTATGTTTATACTCAGAAGTAGACACTACTCTGATGGCAATTCCAAGCTATTACCAGCAAACCAAGCTTTGCGCCATGTCTGTGATTCTCATTTGCAAGCTGCAATGTTTCAGATTTTCTGCAGGGTATCTAAGTATTATTTCACAAACAGTAAGAACAAGTGGGAACATTTTGCAGCAGTCAGCTATTTTAAGAATAATCACAGCTAAAACTGCTTTATTTACAGTAATTTACCATGTTTTATATGTATGTTATATAAAAATAATACATATACATATCAAATCAATCATACGTTATGAAAAAAGAATTTATATTTTATGAAGTTAATTAGAATCAGGTACTCTTATGCCTGGCATTTTGGCAGTCTATCTAAATGAATATGCCTTCCAGCCGACGCTAGAAAACTGATCAAAATTAAAGCTAGGTAGCTGTCATCTGCAATTACAGAAACCACAAAGCCAGATTCCAAATCTGCTTTCATAAAAAAGGGAATCTCTGCTCTTTCTGTACTTTCATCTGTAAGCAAATGCCAACAGCCGAGGAAACCGTCTGCATTAGCATAAGCCAAGTAAAATATCGTTTGGGTTTGAATACATTTAAATTAGTAAATCAGGTTGGAAACTTCAGAAAACTATTAAGTAACTTCTGTTAGCCCCTGTATTGTAACCCAGGGTGTGAGCCTGCACGGACAGATGTTGCCCACATGCCCAGACATTTCCTTGGCCAACAGCATCTATCTCCTAGGACATATGGTATTTGAGAGCAGACTTTTTCCACCATCCTGTTTTATACTTTCCGGTGACCTGCTCTGTTCAGAGCACCCAGGACAGCTGGTCCTGGCAATAATAGACACCAGAAGTTTGCAGCTGTCCTGTCCCATCACATCTTTGTTTTGGCAGACAACTCTTAATGCTGACCCTAGATTCCCACAGCACATTTTGCTTCAACGTCTTCCCTAACAGGCACTTATGGACTGCACATGCGGTGCAGTGGAGCAAAGGTGGCCCAGTCCTGAGGGACAGCAGGTACGTGACTGCTCGCGGCCCCAGGCTCCCCAAACTACGCCCCAATCCAGCATCACTCCACCGACCCTCCTCACCCCTCAGGGGACGCCCCCGACACCCCACCGGCACCCAACGCCTCTACGCCGACGCCGAACACCCCCCGCCCCCCAAAATGGCGACGCCTCCCACACACCCCCAAAATGGCGACGCCCCCCTCAGCCAGAGGAGCGACCGTTGGCGCCCCGCCCCGCGGCCCCGTGACAACGCCCACCCCAGCCAGCCA